CTTATTTGATTGGTAGTTCAAACTTTTGACTGCTTTCTTCAATAATTACATGACACAATACTTGTACTTTTACTTTTAGTACATAAGTAGTGAATTTTAAAAGAAACTACTTGCAATACTTGAGTACAAAAAATGTTGAATACTTTAGTACTTCTACTTAAGTGCGGTGCTTAAAGAGCTCTTCAACTTCTACTCAAGTCACTTTTTTGATAGAGCACTTGTATTTTTACTTAAGTCTGGGTTTCTAGTACTTTATACATCTCTGATTCTCTCTGTGCCAGGGGGACGACCGCATGAAGCTGCCCAGCCCCAATGACAGTAAGTTCTTCCAAAGTCTGCTAGATGAGGAAGAACTGGAGGATCTGATGGATGCCGAGGAGTATTTAGTGCCACAAGCCTTCGGTGTTCCTCCACTGGCATATACAACCAGATCACGCATGGACCCCAACAGAGTGAGTGTACTCACAGTTTGTTCACTCACACACAGTGTCTTTAGGTTCAGTAATTTAATAAACCATGCTCTGTCGAAGACAGTATGTTGCATAGACGGTCCACTTGTATTACAATAAATGGAGGAAATTGAAATGCTCAATTTAGGCTACTCTTGTAAAGGTAAATAAATACCCTGCCTTTTGTTTGGTGCTGCAAAAAGTGAATTGGCTAGACTAAACCTGAAATGTATTATAAATATACTATATGCTTGCATGCGTGAGTGTGTGCGAGCGTTGTTCATTACTGTTCAAAGGTTTGGGGTCAGTAAGATTTTTATTTTAAAAATAATGAAATAATATTTTTATTCAGCTAGGATGCATTAAATTGATCGAAATATTTCCACATTTATTGATACAAAAACTATATTATTTCTGTATTATTCTGTAGTCTTTTGAACTTCCTATTCAGATGTATCATGGTTTCCATGAAAATGTTATAACATTGAGAGGAAGATTTTGGAGCACAAAATCAGCATATCAAATGATTTCTGTTGGTAAACTGAAATAATGGCTGCTTATAATGTATCAATGAAAATATATTAAAATAGAAAACTGTTTTAAAACACTTACTATTTATTACTATTTTAAACTGTAATATTCACAATTTCTCAGGTTTTCAGCAAATAAATCCAAGCCTTGGTGAGCATGAGAGACCTTTTACAAAAACATTACTTCGTTTTGACCCAAAATTTTGAACGACAGCACATTATAAACTTTAACAAGCAGTGTTTGAGTGTTTCCCCATTCAGTTATAGAGGTGCTGTATAACAGGCTTGAATGAATAGACTAGCCCCAAAGGTGACTTTGGGTTGGGATCTGTCAGGGTTTAGTGGCTAAATGCGATTTTATTTTGTGGGTGCAGTTGTGTGAACTCTTTTAAAATCATTGGATTATCGTCATTTTAACTCTTTACAGTTCCTAATACCTCATCTGAATACTTTAAATCATGGTAAACCCCAAAGTTGGTGGTACTCTTCAGGAAAATTGTATTGAAAATAGCATTGAGTCATCAAATATTGAAATATTTTTTAAGTAGACTAAGGACAAGAGGTCGTTGATGCATTTACATATACATCATGCATGCGACACCTTCAAATTTGGGCGTTTTGCACATTTTTACATATTTTAGGATAGCTTTTACATTTTAATGCACTTTTACTTCTCACTCATGAATCTCTATTTATTGCTTGTCTGAGGCTGAATTGAGTTTTCAGATGAGTATCATCTAACTGATGTTGACCTTGGGGTGGATATATGCTCCTCTTCCCAATTAAGTACCGCCCACATAAGCATTTTAGAAATCCCAGGCCCCAGCACACCATTCCTACACCGACAGATGCTCTCCCTGAACAAACCTGTCTGCCGTTGAAATAAGGAATGCGATGACAACAAAAAAAGAAGTCTCGTTCAAATCATGAATAATTTCCCTTGGTGTATGGTGAATGGTATTGAAATGCTGAGATTCATTTTATTTTTTTTATTTTCAGGTGCTAATTTGTCTTTAGAAAGCAGCAGTGCTTTTGTAAGGTGCATTAGGGTTTTCCTGTGGAGTGGGGGAGAAAAATAAAGTGGCCCTCACATGTGTGCCTATAATGGGCTCCATGCCTGGGCTTTCATTAAAGAGGCATGCAGTGTAAATAACTGGGTCCTCACTAAAGTGAAGTTGATATTTGCCCATCGACAGGAAGACCAGAATGGGTATTTGCTCTGTGTTAGGCAGCCATGAGCATGTTATTAACTGTTGGTGTGTACAGCGGCAATGGGAAAGGACAGCCATTTGGGATGCCGCTCGATCAGCTCTTAACTGTAACTTAGAAAGACAAAATCTCAGGGTTCAAACATTCTTTACCAGGGACTTATGTGGATTTGAGAGTGTGTGGGAGGGGTGGCTGTGATGAAATGTTTCCTTTTTTCTCCTGGACCATGTTCGCTAACCATGTGTGCCATTTTGCATTCTAACTTGCGTTTTGTTTTTGTCTAACTGGGAGAGAAAAGAGAGTGAGCGGTATGAATATCAATGAGGGACATCAATCCTTCAGAGCCTCTTTGGAACATTACAGAAATCTTTCGCCTGCAGTTTGCCGTATAAACTGAGCTTTGGGAAAACAAAACTCTGCCAAATAACCCAAACAGCGGAATGCAATATTAACTCAAATTCATCTTCAAATTCATCTCTACTCAAAATGTTGTGAAGTTTGAGCATAATGGAAACAACATTTGTGTGTGTGTGTGTTTCAGCTCCGCTTTGGTCGCAGTTTAATGTTTAATGGAAAACTAGGGAAAAAATGCAGGTTTGGCTTTTTTTTTTTTTTTTTTTTTTTTTTTTTAGGTTTGGCATAAACATTACCAGCTACTTTATTCAACGTTAAAAACACAAAAAAAGTATGCAAGTACAGCTGTGTGGTATGATCGAAAGTACCATGTGATGGTAGATATCTGTGTATATTAAATTGAAGTAAATATTGAAAAAAAAAAATTTGTTCATTATTCATTTGTGTATTAAGTAATTATATTTTGTATATATTTTTAAATATTTATTTGTATTCCTTAGATATTTGATTTGTATTAATCATTTATTGAATCATTATTAAATAAATTGAATAATTTATTTACAAGATTATTGTCACAGTCGTCGTCTGCACCATCCTGTCTTCACTACAGGTCTCCACACCTGAACTCACTCCCTCAATTACCCACCTGTTCTTCGTCTTCATCGTCTGTGTCACCTGTGTTCACCTCATCATTGTTCATTAGTATTTGTATTTATGGTGCGTTCATGTGCTATGGTAATTATGGTAAATGCCAAAAGCCGACATGGAAAATGCACATGAACACCCCCGCACTCGTAGAATATTTTGATGGACGAGTTGCCGAGATGAGCATTTGACCATTTCAAAATAGCGGAGAGCACCGCGAGAGTTGTGAATGGTAAAAAATATATACTATTCATGATTTAGAAAATATACAGCATATTATTTACCTTCTTGCTGTTGCAGATGACTTAAGCAATCTAAAATAGTTTTAGCTAAATAATAGGTCTGGGTCTCCATCTTTTTACCACATTACGACAACAAAAGCACTTGAACGCAACACACTGGTAAATACCAGTTCACAAGTAGAAAATATCCTATTTTCCATAGCAAGTGAACGCAGCATTAGTCTCCTTCTGTTCAGTTAGTCTTTTTCGGTTGTCGTCTATGTAACGTTGTGATTTGTGTATGTATCAATAGAGTTAAATTATAAGTAAACACTTTGTATTGGATCCTTCCTTGTCTTCTTCTGCCTGCATATACACCCTGACTATTATCCAGTAATATGCTTTACCCCGTATTTATTGAAATATAAACTTTACGTTAGTTTATTGTAACTTTCCCCCACATAATTAGGTACTACCATGGTTTTGGAATGGTATATATCACACTATAAATAAATACTGCTGATAACCATATAAATACCATAATGAATGAATATGGCATGGTATTGTTTGGTACCATGGTATATTTTAAAGGGGTCATGAACTGGCTTTTTAAATTTTATTATATTGTTGTCTGAGGTCAACTTATGATGTGTGCTTGGTTTTTGCATTCAAAAACATCAAAATGAATAAGTAATAGGCTATTTTGTACCCTAGTTTTGAGCCTAGCTGAAAAAACGCTCGGTTTTTATGGGCGTCTCGCACTGAAGACTTGGAAGTAAAAGGAAGTAAGCTGTGAGTGGACAACAGTTTTGCATATTATAATGAGTTTCAACTCACCCGTCGATGCACTTGAGGGAAATTGTTTTGTTGATCTTTTCTGCGGGGGTGGTGTTTTATCCTCTTTAACGTCATAGTTCCCCACTTTGAAAAACAAGTCGTTTGCTGAGCCTGGTGTCAATAAAAGCTTTTATTGGACTAACAAGGACGTTTTCAGTTCTGAAACTTAAAGGATATTCTTATAATATGATGACCTCTTAGATGTCAAAAGCTCAAGGAAAATTTGATTTCTCAGTTCATTACCCCTTTAAAGTACCATGGTATTAGCATAAGATAGCGTAAAAAAATTGTCCCGGGTGACTGCGTGAATTTATGCAACAGTTTTGCCAACACAAGTTCAAAGCGAGACTGAAAAACAAAGACAAGCAGACGGAGAGAATCTGAGGATTAGGAATAAGAAAAAAACAAATAGATTAATTGTGATGTGATTTCTAATTGCATCAGGAGAGCTGTGCTCCTACACTCGCGTCTGTTCATTCACTGATGCCAAGTTTTCATTAAATCTCAAACTGTATTAATATTTGGAGACTTGTTAGTATAAAATATTTGCTGCTTGAAATATTTAATTGTAAAGCAAACAGAAATAGATCACTGAATAGATACTAAAAGGCTTGTTTGTGTTTCTGCAGAACCAGTTCGCATACCAGGATGGCAGCTTCGGCATGGAGGAGATGATGGCCACTATCCCACGGGTCGTGGCTGTGTCCGCGGTCAGCCCGGGCTGTTCCGCTCAGAAGCAATCTATGGCCCAGCAGGGGGCCTCAGGGTCCTCTGATGCATTTGAAGACAGCCGCTGTAATGGCACTCTCAGGAAGAAGGCTTCACCCAGGGCGAGCACCGGGGAGGACAGCAGTGGCCAGCGGTACAGTGCAGATCCAACTGTGATACTGTGTGAGCGTGGAGCCCGAGCTGAGACCAACCAGGATGGATACATGGGCGCTATGCAGGACAAAAAGCCCTCAGGTACTGGAACTGGAGTGAGCAGGAGTGGTAGAGGAGATAGATCTAAAAGAGCTCACATAGAGATGTTACGCTTTATTCAAATCATTTATCCAGTGTCATTGGTAACTCAATGACCCCATGTCTTTGTTCAATATTCACAATGTTCATTCTTTTGCCCAGTGGTAAGTGAATAATATGTAGATTTAACTTTGTAAATTGAAAACCCTGGTTTACAGTTCTTGCATATTTTACAAGGGTAATAATATTGCCTCAACAAATACAGCACAAAGCCTGTTTTAATAACTGTTTGTTCATCTGTGTAAATTTCACCAATTGTTTAAAGGGATAGATCACCCAGTGCCCCAACACACACACACACACACACACATATATATATATATATATATATATATATATATATATATATATGTATATACTCACCTAAAGGATTATTAGGAACGGAGATGTAATTAGGCAATTTTGAGCGTGACATGGTTGTTGGTGCCAGACAGGCTGGTCTGAGTATTTCACAATCTGCTCAGTTACTGGGATTTTCACGCACAACCATTTCTAGGGTTTACAAAGAATGGTGTGAAAAGGGAAAAACATCCAGTATGAGGCAGTCCTGTGGGCGAAAATGCCTTGTTGATGCTAGAGGTCAGAGGAGAATGGGCCGACTGATTCAAGCTGATAGAAGAGCAACTTTGACTGAAAAAAAACACTTGTTACTATCGAGGTATGCTGCATGCAGCAAAGCATTTGTGTAGCCACAACACGCACAACCTTGAGGCGGATGGGCTAGAGCAAGAGCTTAACAAAATTGGACAGTTGAAGACTGGAAAAATGTTGCCTGGTCTGATGAGTCTCAATTTCTGTTGAGACATTCAGATGGTGAAGTCAGAATTTGGCGTAAACAGAATGAGAACATGGATCCATCATGCCTTGTTACCACTGTGCAGGCTGGTGGTGGTGGTGTGATTGTGTAGGGGATGTTTTCTTGGCACACTTTCGACCCCTTAGTGCCAAATGGGCATCGTTTAAATGGCATGGCTTACCTGAGCATTGTTTCTGACCATGTCCCCCATCCCTTTATGGCCACCATGTACCCATCCTCTGATGGCTACTTCCAGCAGGATAATGCACCATGTCATAAAGCTCAAATCATTTCAAATTGGTTTCTTGAACATGACAATGAGTTCACTGTAGTAAAACGGCCCCCACAGTCACCAGATCTCAACCCAATAGAGCATCTTTGGGATGTGGTGGAACGGGAGCTTTGTGGCCTGGATGTGCGTACCACAAATCTCCATCAACTGCAAGATGTTATCCTATCAATATGGGCCAACATTTCTAAAGAATGCTTTCAGCACCTTGTTGAATCAATGCCACGTACAATTAAGGCAGTTCTGAAAGTGAAAGAGGGTCAAACACAGTATTACTATGGCGTTTCTAATAATCCTTTAGGTGAGTGTATATATATATATATATATAAATGCATGAGAGTGTGTAAATTAATTTGAATATCACTGATTTTTGTCTGTGGAACACAAAATAATAAAAACAAACACTGAAACAAATCCTAAAATATGTTATTTGGTGTTCCACAGAATAAAGTTAGTTCACCCCAAATTAAAAATTATCCCATTATTTACTCACTCTAAATCCATCCTAGATGTATACGACTTTCTTCATCTTTGCACATGTATTAAATCTACTTAAGTGTCAGTACCAGGCCTAGAACTTGAGAGAGCCTTCAATTGAGTGTGTGAAGAAAACCTGCTTAAATCAATGGTAAATCGCTGTTATCCTTAGAGCACTAGCTGGCACAATGTCCCCCACCTTCTCTCTTCTCGATGCTCTTTTCTTCTCTCGCAGATTATCTCAACCCCGTGGAGGAGAACCCCTTTGTCACCCTTCGCAGAAACGGAGAGGTCCACACTCTTGAGCGAGGTTACCACAGCACCTCCAATGGGCAGCCCAAGGTGGAGGATGAGTATGTCAATGACCCTCTGTACCTCAACACCTTCCATAACTCTGGAGAAAAGAGTCACGACGTTTTGAGGAAGAATGGGGTCCCTGTGGCACACACAGCAGTGGCAGCAGCAGTAGTAGCGGCAAATACTGTAACTTCCAACAGCCAAAATCTTTCTCAAACCATGCAACCGGCAGCACTCAGTGCCCACATCTCAACACAGCCACTGTACCAAGGCAAACAAAGCATTTCCACCCTCTCAGGCCACACCGTCCATTCTGCCCACCCCGGACACACCCTCCACCCAGCACACAACCTCCATCCCGCTCACTCCGGGACCATCAAACCCGACATAAAGCCCAAAAAGACATTTGACAATCCTGAGTACTGGCAGCACAGTCTTCCCCCGAAGGCAAGTCTCCACAACCCAGAATATCTGCAGGACTGCAGCACACGCTTCTTCTATCGGCAAAACGGTCGGATCCGACCCGCCGTGGCCGAGAACCAGGAGTACCTGTCAGAGTATGCGCTAAAACCCGGCACCGTATTGCCGCCGCCTCCCTACCGCCAGAGGAACACTGTTGTGTAGCAACAACGACCGAGACAAAGAAGGAAAGATGGAGGTAAAGAGAGAGTCGTAGTGTGCTCTTACCCTGGCTCTCACACCAGCATCCTGATCTCTCTGCTCTTCTCTGAACTGGATTTAACACCCAACCTCCAACAACCTGGAACTGATCCACTTGGGTGAGCTTCTCCTCCAGAGGCACTATGACCACATCAATCTGCTTGTCTCTCCTCACTCCAATCCCCATTAAGACCCTTCCGACCTACCTGACCCCAACTATCAGAAAGCGATATTGTTCCCAACATAAGGTAGATGTTACGCTCATCTCATTGGAAGCAAGTACTGATTATGACATGCAACGTGGGTCGATCCAATAGCAGAGAGGAGTCGATCAAATAGCGGAGAGGAGTCATTATTTTGTGCTATTATAGAAATGTTTATCTCATTTTGGGGATTTTGATTTGAAGCTATGATATGATCTGTTGTAATTTATGACTTTGGTTAGCATAGGGTTTTTTTTAGCACTCCATACATGATTATATAAGGCAGATGTGTTGTACTGGAAATATCCTCATGGGCCCTGAGACAAGACGGCCCAAAAAGGTCCTTGATGTTGCCTAATAACTGAAACTCGTATGCTACATACAAACACATTATTGAGTCATCATTAGTGTGTTGTCGACCCGGACCACAACCTTCTCAGATGGCACATCCTCAAAAGACAACACATTATGTGATGTTCTTCTCATAATTCATCTGGTTTTATGCACATCATATTACTCAAACAAAGCACTTTTTATTACTTATATTGAGCCGCTCTCTCCTCCTTTTGAGTCGCAAGACTGGAACGATTCACAACCGGAGACAGTCCAGCGGACCGCATTAGACGTCTGTAAAACTACATGTGTAAAACAAATGTGATGAAGAGAATAGTATCAGCCCGCATATGAACAAGGCCACAACAAAATCAATAACTTCATAAAAGCAGATCTGCAACAGTCTACTGTAATAACATTTTCATTGTTGATCTAGCCAGCATTGATCTGTGAGTTGTCACCTTAAGGTAGCCTTCCTTATTTTGTCATTTAATGTGTGGAATAAAAAACCCGGAATGGGTCTACCTTGAACTTTAGAAGCTAAAATCAATACTAGCGACCAATAGCATCCACATAGACGGATCTACTGCGTAGAATGGATATTTACACAGCGACAGAGGACCAGGTTTGCACGGAAGACTCGACAGATCACACAACGCCTGGCTCCTGTCCTGAAATATGGCCGGAAAACTGTTACAACTGTATAAATCTCGTCCACGTGCGAGTGGATATCCAGACTTGCTATCAAGATGGCAGCTTTTTGTAAAGCTGCAACAATGAGGGACATTTTGAAATCGAGAAGGTATGCGAAATCCATCATCATCATACAATGCTACGAGGAGAACATACAAATGGAATATTTGCCCCAGGGTTAGAGATGAGACTTCCTCAAATCTGTCATCTCCATTTGAACTGTCTCCCATAATGACTTTTCTATAAGAAGCGTCTCATGGATTCACACGGATACAAGTTAAGGAAGATAATGCAGCTTATTTGAGCATGTTGGAGAACAACTGCTACATATTCGATACCAACCACGTCATGTATAGTTTTGAGCACTGCCAGACACCCTGCTTTTCTGCTAAGAGGTATAATGATGTTGTGTTGCTGGTTTGGAGATATGAAATGGTTTTAAAGCACTTAACAGCCTGGCACAGCCGCATGAGTTTGTTTTAAACACCAACGGCACTGATTGAATACTCATTTATTATAATCACAGCTCACATGACGATAGCAAACACCACCCGCCCACATACATTTGTTTTGCTCTGTCATTGTTTTCCCGTTTTTTGTGCTTATGAATATGAAGGTTTACGGTTACGTGGAGCACTTTAATTAATGAACATAACAAAGATAGAGTTCCTTTCATTGTGGATATTGCTGTTCCCATGTGATAACGGATTAGACAAATGACATTTTTGGCTCTCTACTGGAAACGAAATCAGGGAATGTTAGTGACGCGTAGTAATTTTGCCAAACACAGATGTTTACTAATTGAAGTATTTTATCTCAAGCTTTTAACCTTAAAAATAAAATGAATAGAGCATAATTTAAGATGGGTTGCAGTAAAAGAACGCTAAGATTACCTATAATAATAATTTAAGACGCTTTTACAGAATCAACCTGATACTTGAAACAGCTTCATTTTAGCTCCTAGAGAATTCGAACTCTATTTTAAAAGTTATGAAGTACGTAGAGTGTGTAGAACTAAGGCCAAATTATATTTTTATTCATTTTTTATTCATGTGTTTTTGTTTATTTGTGACAAACACAATGCATTTATGCAAAGGCACTTGCTTATGATGTGGTTATGCAGCCCGTTCTCATCCTTTAACGTCATATAGAGCGCTATATGACAAAACGGCGCTATACTACGCACATGGCACCCGTTATCGTTAATATAACACGCGAACCCAAGACGTTAGAAATCCTTTAGCGTGAATATGACACGTACACCCTACCCCACACCTAAACTTAGCCCTCACAGCACGTGTTATATTAACGATAACGGGTGCCTTTAGCGTAGTATAGCGCCGTTTTGTCATATAGCGCTCTATATGACGTTAAAGGATGAGAATGCGTTGGGTTATGAAATGTCCAAAGTACTGCAACCTCCATGAAAACACACATGGGGGATGGACAACTCTTCTCTCAACCCAATTAAAGACGAGGACCTCGTGTACACGCTACTGATAACGTCACCGCAGGTTAGGGCATCTAAATCTACATATGTAGCAACTGCTGTGGAAACAGGGTTTGGAACGATCTACTAAATCCATCACGTGCGGAACAACTAGACCAAAACGGAAATTGTGATATTAGAGACTGTTTGCAAATGCTTTCAGTTCGAGACTGTTAGAGGATGGGACTCGTTCTCTTTGGGAACATTTCCACTTTCCTGGAGATAAAGTTACGTTGGAGCACAAACATTTTGTCTTGCTGCACATTGTTTGTTAGTGACACACTTTTAGCGGAATCTAGAAGAACGTGAGACAAACATCTTGAACTTGTGTAAATATACCTGCGGGGATTTGGAGATAATAATGTGACGAGTTGTGAGTAATTGGTGAATGCTTATATTCCCCCTTTTTTTACACAATGCATAAAAAATCTGATGGGTGAGTTCACTAAGAATGAAACCACTGATAGCGTTGTTTATTTGCACACGCCCCCGATTCACTAAAATAATCAATTAACGGTCCAAATACGCACACAGAATCTGTGCTGAATGCAATTTGTAAATCCTGATCTTGGTTGTGAAGAATGCAGGAGGCTTGAATCTCCAGTACTGAGATCCGGGCACTTGAATCAACTCTTTAAAATGCTTAAAGTGCACTGTACTGCAACTCGCATCATGTGATGATCTCCATCATTCAATCAACATTTGATGATTTACACTCTAAAAAATGCTGGGTTGTTCATTGCCAAATGTTGGGTTAAAAATTAACCCAACTTCAACTTTCACTTTCAACTGTGAATTTTTTAATTACATTTTTAACCCAACTATGGGTTTGTCCATATTTGACCCAAGAGTGTATGTATGCAAACATCTGCTTAAAATGTAAAATGGTTTCCGCCTGATTTCTGTCTGGAGTGATAGCCAATAACGATGAGTTGATAAACTAATTTACACAAAGGCTGTGCTGAAAACAATGACTTCATTTAGACAAAGCACATAACTATTTTACCACTTTTAGCGTATAGTTGAACGATTGTATGTGATTGGTTAAAAAATACAGGGTTTTTACTTTGTTTAGTGAATTCACCCATAAATATTTTTTTTCATTTTTCCTCATTTTTGTTTAACACATTTGTCAACTATTTGATTTAGGCACATAACATCCCTACGCTATCTCACGACCAATTCGCACGAAATTCGACGTATGATTAAACAGTGTCTAATTCGTACGACCTCACTCGATGGTGTTTTGTCTCGATTTTTCTAAACCCACGTGATGGGTAGGTTTAGGGGTAGGTCATTCGTACGAATTCATACAAATTGGCCAATTCGTAAAATATGTACGATTTAGCAAAATCGTACTAATTCGTACGAGTGAAGTCGTATTAATTGTTATGAATTAGCCACTTTTTAATCATTCGTCGAATTCGTACGATTTGGTCATGAGATCGGGTTGAACATCCCCTTCATATTTTTAAAATTGGCCCTATGACTTAAAAAGGGATCTATAATGACCCTACCATCATGTATTTGACAGTATTGAGAGGCAATAAGCTTTACTAAAAACAACGCTACTTAGGCTACTTATAATATGTTTGGGCATTTAGTGTTAAAATTGAATTAATTTGCAGTGTTTTTGAGTCTACATTTGCTGAACTGATTATCAAATCTGCAGTGTCAGATGGGAAAAAAGCACATGTTGTTCTTTTTGGTCCTTTTCATTAGTTGTGCCCCCCTTTTTGTTGTATTATTTATCATTTCTTTTATCTGCTCACTGTAACTTATTTTGCATGTGTCAAGGAAGGTAACGGTAGACTAAGCACAGTTTAAAAAGTCATTTTATATCACAAAGGACAAATAAAGGGGAGAAAAACATCTTCCTATAACATTGACATTTGGAATGGTTGTTCCTCGTGATTTTACTACTGTACGTCAATGAGAAAATGTGAATAGTATTTTTATAGAAAGTTGAATTGGCCTGATGTATTTGTAAATAGCTGAGAAAACTTGCGCTCTCCCCCCATTATGTTTTGTTCACTTATATTGAGTGTGAGATTATTATTCTTATTTGATGGCTGTATATATCTGTAATTTGAACAGCACATATTTGATTTTGTAGATCTTGCAGGTTATTTTAGAATTCGGTGTGTTTTTTCGTGACCGTATGTAGCCCGGCTTGGTGCTTTTTTGTGTTCTTTAACCCCTGCCCATGCTCAAGAGGTAGATGTTTTCTTTCTGTCAGGTATAGCCCTACAATTTTCTCTTTTTGTACAGAATGCAGTGTGGGGAATCTGCAGCTGCGTGACGATAAGCATTTGAATATCCCAGGAATCTCTCTCAACTCCAGTTATGCTTTCCCTGACTTTAGTCCGGGTCATATCGGTAGTCTCTAGTTCTTTCTCGGTATGTAATTCCTACTCATGCACAATCTCCCATCTCCTTTCCCATCTGCTGCCAACCACACGGTGAGCTCGGGCTTAGCGAGCGATTACGGGGAAAGCCACAGTCCCTGAGCTCAACCTTCTCAAATGCATCCGCCATGGTGTTTCTCCAAGAGATTCATAAGTCAGAGTGTATTATTCATGCTGTCAAGAGGACTAATTGCCTGTAGTGTTCATTTGGCCGCATTGTGATTGAGTGACGGCTCGTCAAAACTAAAGTCAAGTCTTGTCATTTTTGATCCAGGCTTACAGTGAGAGTTGAGAAGCCCATCTTCGGGTCTGGTCACAGTAACTTTCTCCACCACAGCTTTCCCATTCCCCAAAGCTAGAGCATTTAAATACTGTTTCACAGTTTTGTTACCTGAATCTATATTTTTAATTTAATATAAATAAATAAATACAACACCTGATATGTCAGTCTGTGTGTGTGTTTTCAAAAGTGAATTTATCTCACATTCTTTAAACATGACATTAACCCATAAACAGGCAAGAGTGGAAATCCATCAGCAAAAATCATTGTACTTCTTTTATTTTTATTTTTTAAATCATCTGGACTTGGGTCGAACCACGAACGACGTGCCAAGTGAGCTGAACTGTATGAAGTTCAGCGAACTTTTGAACTGTATGAACGTCGTTTGTGGTTCGAGTTGTCGAGACTGTTTTCCAAAGATAGCGCCGCCTGTATACACGAAGTGAACTGTCTTTATAAATTATCATCTTATTAAACGGTCTGTACACTTACAAAGTTCTCAATGCTTCGTTTTGTATTTAGGGACCCTCATTATGTTACTGTGTTAGTGTGGGGCTATTTTGAACCTTGTTAGTGGTATAAACTAGCGATTTCTTTTTACTTATTATATGCCCCCATATACTAGCGTATATGCTAAACAGTTTCAGATATAAAACTCTTTACGTTCAATTATCATGAAAACAATTCTCAGAGAACGGTCGACTAGGTATCAATGTGCAATTAGACCAAAGTTTCATTTTGCGCCGGTGTTCTGTCGATATTTGCTGCCTTGTCGAAAAATGCTACCGTAGCGAGAATTGATCACAGAATGCCGATTAAAGTCGTATGAAATACAATTATAATACAATTCTAAGTTATATGAGTAGCTGCAGTATACTGTAGACTACTGTTTTTATTTTTAAAATGGCGTGAAAAGTAAAAATTATCATCAAATATTCATCTTTGACTTGTCAAAGTACACCTTTCCTCATACTAACTTAAACTTTCAGTTATTCTTTTTCAGCTGGCTGACCGTACAAATTTTCATATGGTAGTAAGAATTTTTTTAAAGGGAAATTATACATTATAACAGGAAAATGTACCTTTTGTTAAAAAAAAAAAAATGTGAGTCTGCACATGCGCAAAACCGGTAAGTAGCAAATATCGAGCATGAATCGTCAGAACACCTGAGTTCTGCTTTAACTAAAAAACCTTCAACGTTAACTGTAGTTAACTTAGCATAATACTGTTTGTTTTACATGTGAGTATTAACATATACACTTTTTTTTTTTTACTCAAAATGCATAGATTGAAAAGGGACTGTGTACAGGAGGGGCTATAATGGTCTTCCCTAGGCTCCCGGTCCTGGAACAAGATTTCGGCGGCCCGACCACTAATGTTCACAATTAATATTAGTAGTTGTTTTGCAACTTTTTGCTGAAGAAAAGTAAGCTTAATGTATGCCTAATTTCTACAAAGTCAGAATGTCCCGTTCCATGGGTGGACATGTTGGCTTTAGGTCAAACTGACAAATAAAGCTCAGAAAATTTGAATAAATTCATGTGACCCACATACTCGAAACAGACTCAACAGTTTGATGACAGAACTGGGTGAAAAATTCTTTCCCATGCCTCCTACAAAAGCTTAAAGAGTAAGTATCCTGTGGTGCACGGTGTCTGATTAAGGATTAAGATTGCTCAGAGAGTTTTACTTTCTGAATGTCAAAATTTGACATTTTTTCACAGCATATTAAATGTCTTGATAGTGAGAGTCTGTCAAGTCTGCAGTCATCTCAAGGCAATGATTCAGACTCTTAAAATCACTTTAGAACACTTTCAGATTTCAAAATCACATGCGACAACCTTTTTAAGCATTATAAAAAAAAACCT